ATAAGGACACATATGTAATACCTAAATAAAGAAAAAAAAAGTGTCATTGAAAAAAATATATAGCGATAATAACTAATCCCAGCAAAAATGTGGGAAAACTGAATGTCTCTCAGACATTGCTGGTGGGAATGTAAAATGGTACAGACAATATGGAAAATTTTGGCAGTTTCTTACAACACTAAATTTGCACTCGCTAACCCAGCAATTGCACTCTTGGGCATTTGTCACAGAAATGAAAATGTATGTTTACACACAAAAACTCTACTTAAATGTTCATAGCGGTTTTATTCTGACTAGGCAAAAATTGGAAACAACCCAAATGTCCTTCAGTGGGTGAATAAACTGTAGTATATCCATACTTAGGCAATATTACTGCTAGTAATAAAAAGGCATGAACTATTGCTATGTATAACAACTGGGGTAGATCTCGAGGAAATTCTGCAGAGTGCAGAAAAGCCAATTTCAAAAAGTCTGATTCCATTTACATAATATTCTTGAAATAAAATTATGGAGACGGAGAACATGTTAGGGGTTGCCAGGGGTTGGGGTAGAGTAGGGGAAGGAGATGATAGTGACTATATTGGGTAGCAGGAAGAATCTTTGTGGTGGAGGAACAGTTGATTGTGGTGGTTACCCAAATCTACACATGATGAAGTTGAATAGCACTATATACACAGACAACAGAAATACAGGCACAGAAATGAGTGCATGTAAAACGTGAAATCTGAATAAGGTCTGTGGATTGTATTAAAGTCACTATCTTGGTTATGTAAGATATTACCATTGGGGGAAACTGGGTGAAGGGTATATGGGACTGCTCTGTAATATTTTTATAGAGCCTGTGAATCTATAATTATTTCAAAGGAAGTATTATAAAATGAGGTAGATCTGAAGGACTATGAATGTTTTCGAACTCACACATTTGCATATCATAAAATAGAACTACATGTTTAAGATGTAAAACATTCGAAATATAAGAGAGCCTACACTTGTGTTTAGCCGAGAAATGTAAACGAAAATGACAATATGAGTTCATGGTAATTGCACATGGTACAGAGCCAAATCCAGATAGGTAAATAAAAGAGGGGTTTTTGCTTAAAAGCATCTGTATGAGTCAGGATTCCCCTAGAGAAACAGACCAATAGGACATTTTATCTATTATCTACCTACCTATATAATTTATTCATTTTCATTGGCAGATACTGGTTTACAAAATTGTGAGGCACGCTAAGCAAATCCAAAATCTTCGGGGGGCCCATCCAAGATGACCCAGGATCATCTCCCTCCCTTTCAATCAATCGAGCTGGAGCTTTCCTTACAACGGAGTATCTTCACAGCAACACGTAGATTCATGTTTGCTGGAATCACTGGGGGCCTTAGCCTCACCGAGCGGACACACACACAGAAAAGCCACGCAACCTCACATACACCATGTGTGCTGGCAAAGGAATACGCGTCTTCGGTTCAGAGCCACCTGGGCTTTATCACGATAGGTAATCCCAGCGCAAACAATTTCAATCAATAGCGGCCGACGAGTTTTCTACCGGAGGGTCCACCTCCAGAACTTTGGAGTGGAAAGGGGTCACGAAGAGCTTAGTCTGCGTTGGGACCCAGCCGACGCACTCGGGGCACTCGGGGCACTCGGGGCACTCGGGGCACTCGGGGCACTCGGGGCACTCGGGGCACTCGGGGCAGCAGCCTCCGCGCAGCGAGACCCACCTGGAGCGGCGGCCGTGCGGGCGCACGGGGTGGGCGGGGCCTCGAGGCGCTGGTGCTGCCGCCGGCGCCCAGCCCGCCAGAAGCGCGCGCGGCTGGCGGCCGGCGGGGAGCCAGTCGGGTAAGGCGAGCGCGGCCGGCGGTGGGAGTGGGGGGGGCGCGCCAGGGGGAGGAAGGAAGGGGAAGAGGCGGAGCGTGGGAGCGCTCAGTGTCAGGAATACAATAGTGCTCCGCGCGGCTCGGGCGGCCGCCGCGCTGCCGCCGCCCCACACGCCTGCCCGGCGCGGAGGCCTGAGCGGCCAGGCGGGCGAGGGCCGGGGGGCGGGGGCTGCGGCGCCGGGGGGCGGCCCCAGCGGCGCGGCCGGCGGGGCGGGGGGCGGGGGGAGGGGAGGAGGTTAGGGGGCAGGTGCGAGGGAGGAGAGAGAAGAAAGCGAGCAGTTCGGGGGGCGGTAACCACTCCTCCCAGACTCGCCGGCACTCCGCCGGGCGCGAGCGTGGAGCCCGGAGGCAGCAGCGACCGGCTGCGCGAAGGTAGGCGCCTCTGCCGCCGGACGGACGCGGCTGAGCGGGCTGGGAGCGGCGCGCCGGGTGGGCAGCGGAGGGGCGGCCCCGGGGAGCCCCGCGGGCGGCGGGAGGCGCAGCGTCCCGGGCGCCGGGGGACGGAGAGCGGGTGCTGGCGGAGGTGCGGGGGCCGGGAGCGGGCACCCGGGCTCGCCGCAGCCACCGTCGGGGCGTGGAGCGCCATAACTGTTGCAGGGGCTCCCTCCGGTGCCGACTCCCGACGCCCCCTCGCTCCCTTGCCCTCTGCCTCGAGGGGCTGCACGGGGTCCGACTCGCGGCGGGAGGACCTGCCGTGCGGGCTGCTCGGGGCCGGATGCTCCGGGGAGCGAGGACGCACCCCCGGCTGCTTCGATGTGGGGCTGCTGGAAGCACCGAGTGCCCGGGCGGGGGGCCGGGCGGTGCGGGCAGCGGCGGGGCCCCTGGTGAGCCGGGCGCTCCGCGGGCTGGCGAACTTTCCCTCCCCCTCGCGTTATTGTTCGGGGATGCTGAGCCCGGGCCGCGGCGGTCCGGAGGGTGGGAAACGCGGGGACGGCTTGGCGAGGCTTCTGGGGGGAATTTTCCCACCGCCGGGCATAGCAAAGTTAACTTTTCTCCTGCAATCGAGTTGGTTTTATTCCCTCGCTGTGGGGCAATCGATTGGGGGCGGGGGGGGGGGCAGAGGGAGGGAAGAACGCCTTCCTTTAATCTTTTTCTCTCGCTTTGCAGAGCCGTTGCTTCGAAGGAGTCGGGCTTTAAATTGCAGAGGGCAACCTGCGATGTTATTAGGGGAGGAGGGCGGGATCTCGAGTGAGTGACCGAAATGGTGGTATGTGAAGGCATGTTTCAAAGTTGGGATCATCGTGTAGCCCGGAGACATACGTACCTTCTAGGCATTTGGCAAGGAACTTGTTTGGCCACTTCTCTGACTTTCCAGAGTTTCAAGGAAATCCATGGTCTCAGATGTGCGCGAGATTTATTTATTTTTTGATGTGAGTTCCATTTAACTGTAAAGCTAAGGAGGAGGTCCCGGCGCCCCCTCCCTTCCGCAGTCTAATTGTATAAGAAATCAAAACCGTGTTGATGGTGATTCCAGTGACCTGGAGGGAAAGGCGACCTCATTCCCTGTATTCAACCTGAAAAAGATAACTGTCTGCTTCTCTCTACACTCTAAAATACTTTAGGTAAAGACTGGTTGTACAACATCTTGGCTTACTTTAAGCAACCCAGGATCCACTCTCCCAGAGTTGTTCTCTGAAATACCTTCCTTGCAATCACTTCTTGTTAGCTTGGGGGGAAGGGGGGTGAGGAAGGAGTCGGCCTGAACAAAGCATTGTGTTTTTATTTAATTTAATACTTTCATAACATCTGTAAACAATGGGGATGTGGATCTGTGCCCTTTGAATAGTGTGGCTCTCATGCTTTTAACGCATCATATAACTTCTCTCCAGATAAGTGGAAATAGATGTTTTATTCTTTTTTTGTTTATCCCAGAAGTATTCTACCTTCCTAACATTTTTTCTTCCATTTAAAGTGAGCTCTGAGTTTCAATACTTGAAGTGTAAAAGGATGATTCCTCTCTTCAAGGGATGAAGGGATTACATGAGATCTTTGGGAAGGGCTTCTCAGTGTGAGCTACCATCATTTCCACCTTTTTTGAAAAACTGCTCTACTCTACACTTTTATTTGCTAGAAAAAAAGCTCTTAACCCAGTATTATTGCCTTGTAACAGCTCCTTGCTACTGTGTTCAGAAAATTCCAGAACACTCAATGACGCAGGTATGTTCTAGAATCCTCACTTTCTGCCTCCAGCTGTTGGGAGCCATCTTGGTAACCAGCGGCCTTCTCACCTGTAGGAGCCTGTGAAGCTTGTTCAGAGGTAAGGGAAAGTGGTTATGGGCTTCCCACTGCTTCATGAAGTATTTGTGATCAACTGGGAGCAGCTTAGGGGGCACCTGTGCCCCACCCTGTGGCCTGTAGAGGTTCTAGGAGTAGGACAAGTGATGGTACAGGTCTCTCATCAAAGTTGAGATGTAAGTGTTAACAGAAGTTAAAGAACAAAGGATGCTGAAGGTTCATGGGTTGGGAATAATCCTCTTCTTTGATCATTCTTGTCTTTTCCCTCCCTTCTGTTCCAATAGCCATCCATAGCAGTCCATTTCTCCCGTAAGCTACACAAAGCCTTTCTCCCTTTCCCCCATTACTTGGACATCTGGCTAGAACTAGATAACCTTATGGGGGGAAGTTGGGGAGGCAGAAGGCATCAGGTGATTGTGAAGACATACAGGGGGCGCTTATAAGCCCTGATCAGGGACAGAGGTTGAACATTATCATAGGACATAACCTCATCTCCCTCATCATGGAGCTTACACAAAACAGGAACGGAGGAAGGTAGAGATCATATACTGGCTTACATATGACCTTTACTCACCTCACCTTATAGGCAAGGGGTAGGTGGTGGATGAAACCCATCTGGCAGTCTCCTAAAATGGCTAACAGGACACTTGAATGGTTTACAAGTTTCTACCTGTTGTTCCAGTTACAGTGCCTGGGAAAGCTGAAGCATTCTGGCTTGTGGGGTGGGGAGGATCTGGGATGAGTGAGTGGGTAGAAGTGAAGAATAAAAGAGTGCTAGCGAGTGGTCATTACAGACCAAGTAACTACTGCTTTGAGTTTGCTGTTTTCTGGATTCTTTGTGATTCCCTCATGGTTCTTTTTGCCTCCTCCCTGTAGGTCTCTCCATAGACAACAGCAGCAAAGCTCTTACCATCAGAACTGTGTCCGTGCTTCTCTTGGGGAACAGGGAGAAAGAAGGGTCCCAGGGAGAATGCCTGACCCCATAGCTAAGTTTGGGAAAAGGGCAGTCAACTGAAGAAAGTATGGGCCTAGCGTGGGGAAATAGTACTGAGGCTTTGACCAATAAGAGGTACCAATGCATTCATTAATACACTTCAAGCAGGAAATAATTTCATCTGTCACAATCCAGAAGCCATGGCTGAGCCCTGCTACCCAAGGAGCTCCTCGACCCTTGATATTGGCTGATAGGCAAGGAAATCCAAGTCTAGAGTGTGGTTTTGGAATAGCTGACAAGAGAATGTGGTACCAGCATGGCCAGTACCCTAGACCTTATGTGTTAGAATCTCCAGGGAAAATTAATATCCTTTTTAAAATTTTAAAAACTTTTTATTTTGCTGTAATATTATAATTACCAAAAAGTTGCAAGAATAATACAAAGAACTCTTGTATTCCCTTCACCCAAGGTCACCAGTTATTAACAGTTTGTTCCCACTTGCTTTATCATTTGCTCTTTCTGTTTCTTTTTATGAACAATTCAAGGGTAACCACTGAGAGACTGATACTTGTCAAGGGCATCCTGTCATGAGGGATGGCTGACGTGCAGCCACAGGGTACAGAAGAACATTGGTGGTGATGTAGTGCCCAGAGATAGAGTGAAGTCTACCCACGGCCATAAGACACACGTTTGTAAGTCACATGGAATCTCTGGTGCTGGATATAGAAATCATTCCATGGTAAAGTGGTTAAGATAAACTATTTTTGCCATCATTCATGTCAAGTTTGTTTTAACTATGCCAAACTGTAATCCTATCTACTAATAAAAGGGTAATATGCTAATTAGGGCGGACATCCTTCCGGACAAAGCTGCAGCAGCTGCTTGAGGCTCAAGCAAGCCTCTGATGGTGGCTGCCACTGGGAGGGCTGGCCCAAGGCTCAGGCAAGCCCCGGAGGGCTGGATGCTGCTGCGAGGGCCAGCCTGAGGCTCAGGCAGCCAAGGTGGCTGCCAGTGGCAGCAGCAGCAGGGTGATGGGGGTGGCGCCTTCCCCTGATTGGCCAGGTTGCCTCCAGCAGAAGGAGGCCAGATTGCAGTTCAGGCTGGGGGCCGAGGCAGAGGCGGTTAGGGGCAATCAGGCAGGCAGGCAGGCGAGTGGTTAGGAGCCAGTGATCCCATATTGCGAGAGGGATGGACATCCCCTGAGGGGTCCCAGATTGGAGAGGGTGCAGCCCGGGCTGAGAGACCCCCCACCCTCGTGCATGAATTTCGTGCACCGGGCCTCTATAATAATAAAAGTGTAATATACTAATTAGACCGGATGACCTGGACGAAGCCAGGGCTGCAAGGGAAGCCCGGGTCCTGGGTGCCTGCCAGTGGCCAGAGGGAATCCCAGGTCCCGGGTGCCTGCTGGCGGCCAGAGGGAAGCCCGGGTCCTGGGTGCCTGCTGGTGGCCAGAGGGAAGCCTGGGTCCTGGGTGCCGGAAGGAAGCCCAGGTCTCACATGCCAGAGGGAAGCTGGTGCCGGCAGCCAGGGGAAGGAAAGCCTACTCTTGCACAAATTTCAAGCATCGGGCCTCTAGTCCTGTATAACAAAAGCCCAGTGACGGAACGGCAGAACTACCAGTCGACCAGTCACTGTGATGTGCACTGACCACCAGGAGGCAGACGCTCAATGCAGGAGCTGCCCTCTGGTGGTCAGTGCGCTCCCACAGTGGGAGCACTGCTCGGCTGACCAGGATGAGCAGCGCTCCCACAGTGGGCGGATCCCCGCAGGCCACACCCCCAACCAGTGCGTGAATCCCGTGCACCCGGCCTCTAGTATTGTTATGAAAATCCATTCCACCACACCCCAACTTTGCAGCCATAATATTCTCCAACATTTTAATTAATTCAGTCAGTAAACATATATTGAGTGTCTCCTATTTGCTAGGGGTACAAGAGGGGAAAGATATTAATTCCCTTAAGAGCTCAACATCCAGTGGAAAGGAAATAAGAAAAATTATCATCACAGTCGGAGAAAGAGTATTCTGAAGAGGAAGGCACTGGGGGCAGGGGGTTGATTGGAACACCGGCTGGTTAAGGACCTGAAGAGTACATACCTCAAGTAGTTTGGGATGTATGTAAATGTGAACATCCATCTTACCTGAGGCTTGCTGCTCTTAGATGACAAGGTTCATGAGTTAGGGAAGCCTTTGGTGTCATGCAGCCAGCACAGACTATGGGGTCAGGCCAGTTTTGGACTCTAACCTACCACTTGATCTTGGCCTCAGTTTCTTCACCTGCCAAGCCGCATCTCCAAGGTACTAATTAATTGAGGTAGCAGTTGCTCTGTAAACACTAATTTCATCTTCCCCTCCAAAAATGCAGTATGTGGGGAAATAGCATGAAAGGTATTCAGTAGTAAGGTGGGATTCAAGGGGGTGTTGCTATTTTTTTCTACAAATAAATAATTACTAATTGTACTAAGTGCTATGATGGAGATTACCGTATGGGATAATAACAGTACCAGTAGTGATGATTTGTTAACCATTTCCTGTATGCTGAGCACTGTGCTAAATGCTTAACTTAGGAAATCTTTGTAAGGTGTGAGTCTCAGAGAGATGAAGCAAAAGTAACTTTCCCAGCACTGGCCAGTGTCGTTCAGTGGTTAGAGGGTTGGCTAGCACATTGAAGGGTCACTGGTATGATTCCCTGGCAAGGGGACATTGCAGGTTCAATCCCCACCCCCATTGGAGCGCTTGTGGGAGGCAACCAATCGATCTGTCTCTCTCACATCAGTGTTTCTCTCTCCTTTCTCCCTCTCCCTCTCTTCCCCCAACACTTTCTCTAAAAAGCAATGGAAAAAATATCCTGAGGTGAGGATTAACAAAAAATGGTAACTTGCCCAAGGTCACACAGCAAGTAAGAGGAAGAATGCTTCTGTAAGGGAGACCAGCAAGGTGCCCTGGGGCCGAAGGATGAGCAGGAATAAGCAGAGTACAAGTCAGAGAGAATGGATTGCCAGGCAGCGGGAACAGCAGGTGTTGTGAGGGCACTGAGGTGGGAGAGAGATGTGGAAAGGATCCTCAGAGGTTTGGCTAGGACCTGGGGAAAGAGAGATGAGGTCTGAGGTAGGCAGGGAAAGATTTACAGGGCCTTATGGGACCTTATTAAGGAGATTGTGTTTTATTCCAAGGACAATGGGAAGCTGCTGGAAGGTGTTTTTCACTTTTTCTTAAACCGTGTGTGTGTGTGTGTGTGTGTGTGTGTGTGTGTGTGTGTGTGTGTGTTAGAGAGAGAGAGAGAGAGAGAGAGAGAGAGAGAGAGGAGAGAGAATCCTCAACGGAGGATAATTTTTCCATTTATTTTAGAGAGAGGGGAAAGACAGAAACTCTGATGTGAGAGAAACACATCGATTGGTTGCCTCCTGCATGAGCCTCAACCAGGGCCGGGGCTGGGGAGGATCCTGCAACCAAGGTACATGCCCTTCACTGGAATCAAACCTGGGACCCCTTGGTCCACAGGCCGATGCTCTATCCACTGAGCAAAACCAGGTGTGTGTGTGTGTGTGTGTGTGTGTGTGTGTTCCCAAAAAATAGTGAGGCCTAAACAAAACTGGCTTAAGAAACTCATTTCCCTTTCAGTGTCCCACTCTGTGATGTTTTTAACCCAATATATAGATCTTAACTGCCCCACCATTAGCACAGTTAAAAAGAGTTGCTGTGTTGCTTGAAGAAGCTGGTCCTGCAGACTGCTTCTAGAAGGAGGTTTAACTAGTCTCATATCTGATGCTTTTTAGACTGCCTTAATGGAGCTCTTTCAGCTTTCACCAAGCCTTGTCAAATGGCCGTGGGGAGGGGGTGTAATTGGGAGAAAGAGTAATTGCTGGAAACCTGAGTTGTTCAGTGTTAGAAATGGAATTGTTGAGTATAAGACTTTGGTTTAAATATATCATGATAAAGATGCTTCAGTGGCTAAATGGTAATTTTTTTGTGTTTTTTGTTTTTTTGGTATGTGCCATCTGTGATGACAGACAGCACATTTGTGAGAATCTGGGAAGACTTGGGCATTTTTCAATACTTATATATTTGTGTATTCTAATCCAGGTACTGTAGGTTTTTCTGTTTGAAGCTACTTCTTACGTGCAGACCACACTTCATGGGGGAAAACCAGTGTGCTTTTCCCCTTTCCATGTGTATTGGACCACAAATATATTTACTTTGAGATAGCCTGTGTCAGTTAGATTTGGGTGCGGGTGATCTGGTGGTTGGCAGGCTGGTTAGTCTAGGACAGTGGTCGGCAAACTGCAGCTTGCGAGCCAGATGCGGCTCTTTGGCCCCTTGAGTGTGGCTCTTCCACAAGATACCACGTGTGGGCGCGCATGTACAATGCGATTAAAACTTCGTGGCCCATGCTCAGAAGTCAGTATTTTGTGGAAGAGCCACACTCAAGGGGCCAAAGAGCCGCATGTGACTCGCGAGCCGCAGTTTGCCGACCACTGGTCTAGGAGGCCCTAAGCTGGGATGGCTTGTCTCCCTGCAAATGGTCTCGCCTCCAGCTCGCTAGTCTGGACTTGTTAACATGGTGGTCTCAGAGGCACAAAGAGTAGCAAGTGAGAGGACGCGTCAGTGCCCAAGCACTTCGGAAGTGTCCTCTGTGTCACATTTGATATTTGCCCATCAGTCAGAGCACAGGAGTGCTTCTGTGGTCAAGCCCAGAGTCATTGTGGGATGGGACCATCCAAAGGTATGGATACAAGATGTGAAAAATTGGGGGGAGGTCATTACTGCTGTAATTCTTATCCTTGTTCCTCTATAGTTAACATGTCTTTTTTCCTCTGGCTGACTTCAAGGTCCATCTTTACCTAGGTGTGGCTTTATAAAAAATTTTAAATGTTTTCTTTATTTTAAAAATATGTCTTTATTGATTTCAGGGAGAAAGAGAGAGAGAAACATCAATGATGAGAGAGAATCATTGATTGGCTGCCTCCTGCACGCCCCCTACTGGAGATGGAGCCTGCAACTCAGTCATGTGTTGACCAGGAAAGGAACCTTTTGGTGCCTGGGACAGCACTCAACCAACTGAGCCGCACCAGCCATGTGTGGCTTTTTAAATTTTTTCCATGTTTATCCTGCTTGGTGTTCTCTGAGCTTCTTTTATCTATGGTTTGTTGTCTGTGACTAATCTTAGAAAGTTCTTAGCCATTATTTCTTTATATAATTCTTATGCCCCATTTTTCCCCCTTCTCCTTCTGGGATTCCAATTACAAGTATGTTATACTGTTGGATATTGTCCCACAGTTCTTGTATGCTGTGTTCTATTTATTTTCACTCTTTTGTCTTTTTTTGTTTTAATTTTTATTGACCTGATCAATAAACTTGATCTTTGTGTTCACTGATTCTTTTCTTGGCTGTGTCAAGTCTGCTGTTTAGCATGTGTTTTTTGTTGTTCTTTTTTCCTGTGGTGTTTTCTTTAAAAGGAAGAGAGAAACATGGATGTGAGAGAGAAACATTGATTGGTTGCCTCCGGTACACATCCCAACTGAGGATCGAATCAGCAACCTAGAAATGTGCCCTGACCAGGAATCAAACCTGCAGCCTTTTGGTGTATGGGATGATTCTCCAAGCCAGCTAAGCCACCCGACCAGGGCTTTTTCTGTGTTTTTTATTTCTAGCATTTCCACTTTATTCCTTCTTACAGTTTCTATCTCTTTG